AATGAGGTGCTGGGGGAAGGCTCAGGACTGGCTGTCTGAGCTCACTGTCACCGGCCACCCTACTTGTTTCTGCTCTAAACCCCCATTGTTCTCTCGGCTTCTCTCCCCTTGGTGTGTGTCGTCTCTGGAATCTGATTTGTAGTGGGTGAGGTAACGTACGTGGAACACTTAATGGACGCAGAAGGCAAATCCAGGGTAAGTGCAAATACATACAAATAAAACACACGAATAAGCCTAGACAAACCTGTGTTTGTCAGCTTTGGTTTCCTTATTTACTATGTTGGAATTGTTCAGATACAAACCTGGTGGAGTGTGTGTGACACGGTGACGTGCCGGAGGCATGTTTCATTTGAAGTTGTCTGTGGCATTGACTCGAGGCCATCGAAGGGTTGATGATCTTATAACAGGACTTCAGCTCCTTTGTAGCCAATCCTGTGGGATTGCAGTAGCTGATAATGTCCCTGTGGTTGTGGGATTTGCTCCTTATGATCTAATGGGCCGTAGTCTGCAAGAGGTCGTAGCAAGGCTGCTAGATGGTTGATAAATAAAACTCATTCCATAGAACTGCTGGAAAACTCTAATATCTCAGTAGTTGGGAATCCTCTGTCACTGTCTGCCTTTAGGATGCTGGGGGAAAACTCTATTGAATACATTTGCCTGTATTGTGTTACTGGCTTGGCTTAAAAAGATCTTAACAATGTAGTGTTATTTTGGAAGCACAGATGTGACCAAGGCTGTAGGCTTGTGTATGGTGATGAACTTTTAATTGCATGAGATTGTTTATTGTGACCTGTCAAAATATGTCCAGTGTTACAATCACTTTAACTAATTTGAAATATTTTCTCTTCCCTTTGATTTGACCTGTTCCAATGACTTCAATCAACAAAGGGTTGTGCGTAAGTAGACTTTAACTTATCGTCAAAAGCAAATAGTGCAAACTGCACGTGAGACATGCACCAGTGTTTTACACACATTTCTCACTGGAAATGTGTTTTTGTCAGTGTTGTTGAGTTCAGGACGGAAGAGTTGATGAAGAAAGCAGTGGAGAAGGTCAACAAGCACAACCTCAATGGTCGGCCCCTCAAAGTGAAAGAGGTAGGTCCCAGAGGGGGAAGCTGTCCGACGCACAGACAAAAGCTGTACTTGTGGATTTGGCCGACTCATTATTTTGTTCTTCTTTGTAAGGACCCTGATGGTGTGATTTGCCAGCGGGAGATCAACAAGGCCCAAGGTGGAGGCCCTCCAGGAGGTCACGGCGGAATGGGGGGAATGGGAGGCATGGGAGGAATGGGCGGAATGGATCGTATGGGTCCTGGACCAAATGGTCCCATGGTCAACATTCCTCCGAGCCTCCTGAATAACCCGAACATCCCCAATGAGATCATCCATGGTCTCCAGGCTGGCAGGATTGGCAGCACTGTCTTTGTGGCTAATGTAAGCCTTAGTGATTTATCCGTTTTTCAGTCTGTATACAAATACTGAATATATGGAACTGTGTCTTATTGTAACTTTAGTCTTGTCTAATTAACTGTCTGAAACTACCTACAGCTTGACTACAAAGTGGGCTGGAAGAAGCTGAAGGAGGTGTTCAGCATGGCGGGCATGGTGGTGAGGGCGGACATTCTGGAGGACAAGGACGGGAAAAGTCGAGGCATGGGCACCGTCACATTTGATATGTCCATCGAAGCAGTGCAGGCTGTCTGTATCCTTTGGAAAAATTCAGCATTTCTATGGTAGCCATTGAATCTTTTTGAATCTCTCGTGTGTGTGTGTGTGTGTGTGTGTGTGTGTGTGTGTGTGTGTGTGTGCGCGCGCGCATGTTTTCCTTAACGGTTTCAAAGCAATGTTCAATGGACAGCTCCTGTTTAACAGGACGATGCACGTCAAACTGGTATGTTGCCTTTGCTGTACATTAGAGCTCTATGGCCTGACGATGAGTATGGTTACAATGCCTTTGCCTTTTTTACAGGATGAGAAATCTCTTCCTAAAGATTTTGGACCACCGGACAGAGCAGCTGCCCTTCCCCGTGAGTATACATCGAGCCTTGTTCTAGTATAACAGAAGGTTTTGAGAGTTTAAAATATTCACGTCGATTAAAGTCCCGATTTTTATGATTAATTTTGTTAAATTAGATGAAATATTTAGTTTTGTCTCACTCGAGTTGCTGCATTGAAGACCACTTTGATCCATGCTACCATAGTTTTTTGTTAAACTGGGGAGAGAGAAACCCAGTAACTATTTAAATGATATTCCAAAACTACTTGACGTCGCCCATCTCCTCTACTGTCTGCTCATGCTTCATGTCTGTTGTTTCCCAGCAGCCCCTGGGGTCATGTGATCTTTGTTTCATGGAGGTCGACATTGGTTTACTGCTTCCCCTGAAAGTGTCAGCTGTATTTATGCTACTGTGTGTGTGTGTGTGTGTGTGTGTGTGTGTGTGTGTGTGTGCGCGCGTGCGTGCGTGCGCACACACACAATCTTCAAACTTAACCTGTTGTCTCTGAACCAGGTGGCCTGAGTGGTATTGGTTTGGGACTGGGACCTGGGGGCCAACCTATTGATGCTACTCAGCTCAACAGAGGTGGTGGTGCAGGGATGGGCAACATGGGTCCTGGAGGTACACAACTGCAGCTTCTTAAAACACATTAATTTATTTTTAATCCACTGACTAAAAGACAGCAGTGAAGTGAGAGCTCAGTGTCACTCTGTCCCTGTAGGTATGGAAGGAATGGGCTTCGCCAACATGGGAGGCCGGATGGGAGGAGGAGGTATGTAGTAAAACTTTGAGTCTACCTACATTTGGTCTTTCCAAAAAAAAGTGCCTTCTGTAATATTAATGTCTTTGTTTATAGGGATGGACAACTTTGGAGGAATGAACATGGACCGCTTTGGCTCTTCAGGGATGGGCAGGATGAACGGTAAGCAAGTGTTGAAAACCCACTCAGCACTCCAGAGCAAGCGTGGAACAGTTTCACGTTTTGCTGGATGTCTAATGGTTTCATCTCTTGCATTGTCAGAGATGGACCGTGGGATTGGTGGTGCTTTTGACAGGGAATTTGGGCGAAATGAAATGGGAATGTCTCGCAATAATTTTGGAGACTCCTTTGAAAGAGGAATGGGTTAGTATTTACAGGATTCTGTTTGAAAGCCACACTGGTGCTTACTTCCACTCATGCATTTTTCTCTCTCTTCTGTTTGCTCACTTTTATAGGAAGCTCGCTGGGAATGGACCGCATGGGCTCTGGAATGGACCGCATGGGAACCAACATGGACCGCATGGGAGGAATGGATCGGATGGGAATGGACAGGATGGACCGCGTGTCTGATCTAGATAGGATGGGTTCCGGGTTTGACCGAATGGGCTCTGGGATGGATCGGCTGGGACCCAGTATGGACAGGGTCGGACCTGGTCTGGATCGTATGAGTTCAGGTATGGATCGCCTCGGCCCATCTGGATTTGACCGCTTGGGCCCATCTAGCTTGGACCGCATGGGGGGTGGTGGCGGTGGCGGCGGCGGCGGCATGGACTTTGGCTCTCCGATGGGAATGGATCGCATGGGCAACACCGGGATTGACAGAATGGCGAGCAACTTCGACCGCATGGGCTCTGCCGGAGGACTTGACCGTTTTCCATCTGGCGGCCTTGACCGCATGAGCTCTGGAATTGACCGGATGGGATCTGGAGGTGTTGGTGGTCAGTTTGACCGTTCTGGTGACTTGGAGCGTGGATTTGGCGGCAATTCCTTTGGAGGAGCTGGGGCTGGAGGTCCTGGAGCCGGGGGAAGCAATGTCAGGAAGGGATGTCAGATCTTTGTCAGGAATGTAAGTTAATCCACACTTTAGCTTGGCGTATTCACTGGAGAAGTATGTCTATACTTTAAATTAATTTGGGGATATTTTTGTCTTTCAGCTGCCTTTTGACTTCACCTGGAAGATGCTGAAGGATACCTTCAACGCATGCGGTAAGACTCAAATCAAATCAAATGAAATCAGCACTGTTAATCAGCATTTTCAGTCATTTTGGACATCTGTGTTCATCCTCCTTTAGGAATGGTCCAGTATGCTGATATTAAGATGGAGAACGGGAAGTCCAAGGGCTGCGGTGTGGTTCGCTTTGACAATCCCGAAACTGCCGAGCGCGCCTGCCGGACCATGAACGGCTATCGCCTGAATGGAAGAGAAATTGATGTTAGGATTGACAGGAATGCATAACCTGTGTGTCCGTGTTGCATCTGACATTATTTTAGTTTGTGATCTCACTCTGTACTCCTGAACTGCCCCTTCACCCAGTATACCATGTTAGATAAATGTAACAGTGAAACTCTTTATTTTTGCCCTTTTCAGACATTGGATGTGTCACATGTTAAAATCACTCAGACATGGGTAAGCTTGACTTTGAATGAAGCTATGAGGACTATTAGACTGATCACCATGTGTCAGAGTACCACTCAGTCTGAGAGATCTTACTGCAGCTCAAAAATGAATTTGAGATGTGAGGCTGTTAATGTTCACGTTATTCTCCTTTGGGGTTCTACAGTGAGCTCAGGAGACATAACTCAAACATTAGCTCGTGCTGTTATTGCTTTCTTGAGTTTTAAGAAGTGATTCAGGCATGAAGCCAGCACGTTCAGATGCTGTTACAAAAGTAAAACTAAATGCATGTCTGAAATGGGCTTTAGTGACACGTCATAGTCAAAGTGTTTGTTTTTCCTTCTGTTTAAATTTTTTAGAGACCAACTTTTAATTTTTTATTTTTGTCCTATCATGCTTCCTGTCAGTGCTTTTGTTCTGTAAGGTGTTTTGATAAAATAAACCTCAATATTTGAAACGCGTTCACTGTTTGTGGTGCTCGTGCGCTGATCGTACGTTTCATAACATGTGAGCTAAATGAGCCAAATAGTGAGCAGCGACTGCAGGTCAAAGTTGATCTCGTAAATATGAGGCACAAACACTGGGGCGGTGGAACGGTCCTGTTGAGCTCTGGTTGGCTATTACAATGAGCTGTAGTCCAGCCCCCTCGTGGACGAGGAAGGTCACCACCGGAAGAAGGTCACAAGCACGACGTTCAAGATGGCGACCCCCTTATGTCGGTGTTATCAGGTGAGTGTTTGGGCCATGTGTGTAAAATATCCACGTAAAAACACCACAAAACGATAAGGGAACGAACTGAAACGACATTTATTCCACGGCCTCTTTTAGCCGAAACGGCGAAAATCTCAATTTCGTTTAACTTCTCTGCTAAACGTGCTGTAAGCTAGCCGAGCTAGCCGTCTGAATAGAGGGGTAAGCAGCCGGTGTCTCAGCTCTTGGAGTTGGGAGCATATAAAATGTTGGAATTTCAGTGAAAAGTCCAAAAGCTCCAAACATTGTTTCTGGAAAACTTTTTCTATCGTTAGCTTGTTTGCTGCTGCTTCACTTGAAGCGTTCCGATAAAGAAGTTTCCTGTAAAAACACCAAAGCTTCGTGATTTATCGTCACGTTCAGTTCAAGAGTTTATTTCAGCCTCGAGTGTCTGCTGAAGTTTGTTTCTTTGTCCAGATATGTGTAAGAAGGGGTTTGGTGGCTTTCCCTTCCTCCTACCTGCTGCTTTCCAACAGACCCAATGTCTACACGATACGTGGGCTCCTCACACACTCTCCACAGGTAACAACACCTGGAATAAGAAGTCCTACTTGACCCTGATTATGTCTGCCTTTGCCATATAGTCTATATACTGTTGGTTTATATTGGCATATATAATCATTAGTATTAACACAGAAAGATACTTGGGGTGCTTTAAAATGCTAAAATGTCACAGTTTATTCAGGGAAGTCGTACTGCAGCTTGTAGTTTAGAGTTAACCTGCGTTTGTATAGTTTCTGAAAGGCTTTGCTGAAACTTTAATACAAATGCTTGGTAATTTTCCTCTTTTAGCCCAAGTCTAGCACACTGTATCTAGATAGATATAGATGGTGGGATTTCTTTTCTCTCTAAAAATCAACTGTTGGTCAGGTTTACATTTTTAGAACTCCGGCACAAGAAATACATTTGAGAAATACAAACTCTATATTTGCATTCATCCTAACCTGGTGGGGTTTTTGTGTGTCTTCAAGGTGCCTCAGTCAGCCCTTCTTCAAGTAAGGTATTTGTCAGGAGAGCGGGGTGGTGGACGAAGAGGTTTCCTGGGAGAGTTTTTGGATAACCTCAAACAGGAGCTAAACAAGAGCAAGGAAATGAAAGAAAACATCAAAAAGTTTCGAGAAGAGGCCAAAAAACTCGAGGAGTCAGAGGCATTGAAGCAAGCTCGGAGGAAATATGTAAGTATCTGGCCGCACGCTGAACTTCTGTCACTTAAACTAGTAGCAGGTCTGGAAATGCTCTTCTTGTCTTTTCCCAGAAAAATATAGAGTCTGAAACAGTGAAGACGTCCGAGGTTCTCAGGAAGAAGTTGGGAAACATTTCAGAGACGGTCAAAGAGGTAAATATGACAGGTACACGTATAAACTCTGATTGTTGTAGTCATGCTGCTGAAGCTGGTACGATTCTGTATGTTTGTAAGGGACTGGAAGAGGTCAGCCGGACAGAATTTGGGAAGAAAATCAAAGAAGGAATGGAAGAAGCTGCCAAAACAGCAAAGACATCTGCTGAGACTGTCTCCAAGAGTGGAGAGATGCTGGGGAAGACGGGCGCATTTAAAGCAATATCGCAGGTATGCAGTCACAGTGCAAGTTAAATATGATTCACCTTTTATTTCTCCTGTACAGCATGTATGACGCATAAACGTGTTACCATTATTCTCAGAGCTATCATTAAAGACGAGGTCATTATTTACTAACTATTAGAAATAATTTGTGTCACTGACAGATTTTCTGTTTTTAGGGAATGGAGAGTGTGAAGAAAGAGATCGGTGACTTGGGTCACACTGGCCCTTATCGGCCTCCCACCAGACTCAGAAAGAGGACGGAATTCTCCTCCAAGGGGGCAGCGGATGAAAGCAGGGTCTTTGAGGCCAACGAGTACGTGAGGGCCCTCTGTTTGCCTGATGCTAAGAGGGGACATGCCCCTCAGCTTCACGATCAATATTTGGATCGATCGGGCCAATATTACTAAAGATATAAGAATTGAAACTCACCCAAAGCTAAAAGCAGCGAGAGCTGGGACTCACGTCCGATTAGATACCAAGAAACTGACATTAATATTATTTCTTCAGCAGGTTTTGGTATCATCAGCTTAACACCATCAAATGACAGTTTTCACACAAACTGTTGCCTGATGTTTGGAGGAGGACTGTAACAGCTGTGTGCCATTTCCTCTACCTCATTGTCATTTCAAGTGTTTCATTTCTATTTGCCTTGTTGATCTGGCTGTAAAGTGCTTATTTATCACATTTTATATCACTGTATATGTTTATATCATCACTTTAGGGAAGCTATGGGCGTGGTGCTCCACAAAGACTCAAAATGGTACCAGCAGTGGAAGGACTTCAAAGACAACAACGTGGTCTTTAACAGTAAGGAATACCCCCCCCCCCCCCGTTACACATACTGACTCTTTGTTTTAGTCGCTCAGGCGTTACCTGGTTAATTGTCCCAGTGTAATTATAGGAGAGGACCAATGATATGTCTGTTGTCTTAAATGTGATGCTGCTGCATCTTCACTGTTGACCCCGAGTAATAAAGCTGGCGTTAGGGCTGCTCGATTATGGCAAAAATGATAATCACGATTATTTTCACTGAAATTGAGATCTCGATTATTTGACGATATTTATTTAACCCTTTAAGACCTACCATAGAACCAAGTCCGCCAGAGCTTATATTATTTTTTTACATGTTGTAGTGCCATTTGTGGGAGCATTTCAAGTTGCTATACATCAATACAACTGTTATAGCCCATATATATTTTGTTTTTTTTACATATATTTCTACTTGGAGAAATTTAAGAGGTTTACCCCTCAAAACTTTAAATACAAAAAAGTTGCAAAAAATAGTTTACAACAACAGGAAACTTATTGTGAGTGTGTTCATAGTTTTATTTTGGAGATACAGCAATTTTTATATACTGCAGGAAAAACAAAAAAAACAATCCTATGATGCAAATTTGCAAAGAAAACAGCAGGTGCATCAAAATAAACTATTTCCAGCAGTGCAATTCGAGTTCTAAGCATCACAGAAACTATTCAGAAAAGTCAAACATGACTTATAAAACACCAGTATAGGCTTTTAAGGCCTACAAGTAAAAAACTACATTTCCGCGAAAATGCTTCCGGTTTTGGCCAGGAAATGGCGGACATGCGATAGTTAGCGGTGACGTCTGTTTCACTGTGGGAAGTGTTACGAACAGCTGATAGGAACGGCAAAGTGTGTTTCTGGAATATTATGTTTTTGTTCCTGCAAGCGCTTTTTATGCAATTTTTGCAAAGCTATATGTGGAAGGAAACCGTGACCGAGGACAAGCTGATGGCATCAGATGTAAGTACAACTCCTCCGGTTTCATATGCAAAACAAATTATTGTGCTAGCTTACAGGGCTCAGGGTTCTTCAGGGATTTAAAAATAGTTACACAAAACGGAGCGTGCAGCTCTGACCGGCTTTAAAGGGTTAACAATGACTTTAAAAAATAATATAAAATAGTGTGCAACACCACTGAAGTTTTTTTTACCTGTCTTTTCAACCAACAGCAGTCACTCTCCAAATAACTTCTGCTTAGCTTTCCGAGCTTCCCTCGGGTCCTCTTAATCAGCGGTCTCCAACCTTTTTTGCGCCACGGACGGTTTATGCCCGACAATATTTTCACGGACCGGCCTTTAAGGTGTCGCGGATAAATGAGGGAGGGGCTAATAATCGGCTCAGTCATTTTTAATGATCGTTGAAAGTCCAGATCGTAATCGTGATTAAAATTCGATTAATTGAGCAGCCCTAGCTGGCGTACTTTTGTGTTTGGCCGGTGATGTCGTTACTGACCCTCCAGTTTATTAGCATCTATTAATAAGCATTTTCTGAAAGAGCAGGGTGATGGAAGATGTAGCTACACTCGGTTAATTTTATGTGCATTAGTTATGGAAACGCTGTTAATGATTAATAATGTTTGGACGTGTGAAAGATGGCCTTTCAGGTGGGACGTTACACAAAGTAATCATGTAGTTTTTTTCACAGCCATTTGGGCCCCATCAGCGTTTCTAAGCTGAAAATGCTGATCACTCACTTCTGTGTTTGATAAAATAACATTGCTGGCAAACTGCTGCCATGAAAGTCTTTCATTCCAGTTTGGGATGCAGGATGAGTCTTTGATTGGTTTCACGCTTTTCTTGCCCTGCTTTCTGTGAGGTGAAGCTCTCCGCCGCCCACATGTTCTGACACATTTGTGAATGTTTTGACTCAAAATGCTATAAACAAACATGCTGCTTGTATAATGTGCTTATTGTTAGAAAGACAAATATTCGTACTGCTTTCCTGAACTTATCCAGGCCTGGAAATCAGATTACCTTTGTATCCAAACCTCTGACAAACTGATTTTTTTAATAATCACAGGGTTCTTTGAGATGAAGATGAAATATGATGAGAGTGACAACGCGTTTATCAGAGCGTCCCGTGCCGTCACTGACAAGATGACTGACATCATAGGTGAGCATCTGTGGGAACTGTCGGTGCTTTGAAACACACAATTGTTACATGTATCTCTTTTTATGCTTGAAAGACTTAATTTGTATTCGTGGACCTTGATATGATGTCTAGTCAAGATGTTTTTAGTAACATATGCGGTACTGATCCACCAATAGAGGATCAGTACCTGGTCCTCAGCCAGGACAGGGTGGAGTGCCCACTCCTCGGGGGGGAAGTGGAGTCGTTCATAAGGAGCACAGCTCCTCCACACAGGGCTGTGCGATATGACTATAATCTGATATCGCGATATAAGACATCCGCCGTCCAACAGCGATATATTTCACAAACATTTTGCATTTTCTGTCCATTCTGTGAATCTCGGGCAGCTCGACTTGTGTGAAGTGTTTCCAGCTGTGCGTCGTGTAGCTGGAGTCGAGTGTTTTGACCGATGCTGAAACGATACATTTTTAGACATAAGTTGAAAGGCCGCCGTTTTCTTTGAGTATTTATTACACGGCGTGTTCTAAGGTTTATTTGTTTTATTTCTTTTTAGCTTCTCGTCTCTAAACACTCTGCATCTTTCACGTGATTCAATTTATTTTGAAAAATCTCAACAGGATCTTCAGCTTTATTGTGAAAGGTTTATGTGGAAAATAAACAAGCGGACGGTGGTTTTACCGTCGTTGTTGCTAACGACAACGCATAAAAACAGTCGCTTGTCCGTCCGCAGTGTGGTGATATTAAATGTAAGAGAGAACTTTAAGAAGCTAATTCTGCAGTGACCATCAAAACGGTGAAAAAATATTGGCGTGAACAGTTTATTTTGCGACAGCAGGAAGTAAACGATATGAAACGACAGACATTTTCATATCGTTGTATCAAACAGCCCGACCTCCACATCCAAAGGACCCGGTTGGGGTGATTCAGACATCTGATCGGATAAGCAGAAGAGGATTGACTTACGTAAAGATGAAAGTCTTTATATTATTGGAGGTTATATCGCTGTTTATCATATACTTGATGAATCTTTTACAAATCTTTGTCCTGCTCGTCCGTGTGCATAAAGGTGGACTGTTTTCAAAGACTGAGATGTCTGAAGTGCTGACAGAGATTTTGAAGGTGGACCCGTCCTTTGACAAAGACTCCTTTCTCAAGCAGTGTGAGCGAGACATCATCCCCAACATACTGGAGGTAACACCAATCTCAGCAGATATCACTCAAGTTTTTCTAAATCTTTAAACTGTCATTTAGAGTGTACCTCTGCAAAAGGAGAATACTCGGTACGACTGTGCACTGCCTTCATAAAACAAGTCAGGACGACCATTTAAGCCTTTTTTCCACACAGGCCATGATTCGAGGGGAGCTGGAGGTTCTGAAGGACTGGTGCTATGAAGCGGTACGTCCTTTTGCACACGCTGGCTCTGCGTGTTTAAATAAGTGGACTGACAGCTCCATGGCTCTGCTGTGCCTCGATTCTCTGCAGGTGGCCAGTTTTTCATGAAGTGTCTTTGTCATTATGTGATCTCCATTTTCTCCTTCACTGGGTTTGCAGACGTACAGCCAGCTGGCTCATCCAATCCAGCAAGCCAAGGCCATGGGGCTTCAGTTCCACTCCAAGATTCTGGACATCGACAGTATTGATGTAAGTTGCGTAAGACGAGACTCTGCGGGCTGATACTCAGACTACTGGCTCTTCTTTGCAATCTCAGGTTTAAAAATAGCAACACTTCATCAGTTTGCAGTTCATACGTGTGCTGACGGGAGCTGTAACGACTCTGATCACTGATTCGACTTTTATATTTGTAAATGTTTCACCTGATGAAGGGAAATCCTTGAATTCTGGTCAGTAAATATTCATGCATGTTGTTCTCCAGCTGGCCATGGGTAAGATGATGGACCAGGGTCCAGTGCTGATTATCACTTTCCAGGCTCAGTTAGTCATGGTGATCCGAAACACCAAAGGAGAAGTGGTGGAAGGAGATCCTGTAAGTCTCTCACACACACACACACACACACACACACACACACACACACACACACACACACACACACACACACAGAGTTGTTGGTTGATCGTGAACTATTACAGAGCTTTAGCTGGCATGTTGTCACACTCACACGTGTGTGAGATCTTTTAAATTGATCATTAAGTGAATGCAACGAGACGGTGGAGTCATATTCAGCCGTTTGGCCTTTGTTTATTCAGACCCAGAAAGCTTTATGGGCTGTGAATCAGCCGCCGAGGACAGCTCGGGGACGCGTTTGGTTGGAAGCGAGGTCAAAGTATCCATTCAGCACCGTGCAGCTGGCAGATGCCCAGTGCTCAGGATACAAGGCTTCTGCCAAAGGATAAATGGTGGATGTACTGTTCCTCTGGAGTTTATAAGCTGAGCTCTAATGTCTGAGCATTAAATGACACACTCGACCATTTATGGCTCCTGGACTCAGCGTCTCTGTTTCCATGTCTTTCATCTTTCAAACTTTTTAATGCGACGTCTGGATGTTGACTGAAACTGAAAATGCCAAGAAGCTTTCTGCACAGGCTGAGCCCCTCCCTTTGAACCACAGGAGACTGTGTGGTCGATCAAGCCAGCAGCAAAACAGATGTTTGTGTCGTGGTTCAATCAGTCGCTTACAGATGTATCATCATGTTATTTGTTTTGTTTGAATTTAAAGTGAAGTGATCTCATCTGTCATCTTTCCTCCAGGAAAAAGTCCTCCGGATGATGTACGTGTGGGCTCTCTGCCGAGACCAGGAAGAGCTCAACCCGTACGCTGCCTGGAGACTATTGGATATCTCCGCCTCGAGCACGGAGCAGATCCTCTAAGACTCTTTGATGTGCACTAAACACTCACAGTCAGGGAGGAGGGGACACACACAGGTGGACGTGTGGGGGCCGGACTTTGCTACGAAAACACTGTGGAGTAGTGTTGCTGAAAGCTCGAGCTGCTTCTCCATCTATTGGCTTTGCTCCGTCAGTTATTCCTGACCGTTCCTCAGGCTCACACTTGGGGGCAGTAGACCACCAACAACATTCATCCAAAGTCCTTCTTGCAGCCTGTAGGCTGAGCTTTGCTGTTTGATGCAGCTCTGCCATTGTTGGCTTTAAATGATGCCATTTTATCAATATGGGAAACAATCATGTGGGAATCAGCCGATAGATTTGTAACTAAAACTTATGTCGTCAAACAGACTCCTTCATATCCTGTCACCGTGATGTCACCATGACGTCACCGTGATGTCACCGTGATGTCACCATGACGTCACCGTGATGTCACCGTATACCTTTATTCCACCGTCTTTCTCCATCAAAAAGAGACGCACACCATCAACTTACTGGGCCCAGAGTTGGAACCATTGATCCCAGTGGCTGTGGGAGGTGCTACTGCAAAAAACAAAACCACTGCCGTGATTTTATTTCCAAAAATTAACTTTGTTGCACAACACTATGGAATATCTGGTTTTCAAGCATGTGGGATGGTCGTTTCAGGACTAAGGCAAACGCTGGTCCTGAAGTCGCAGCACGCCAGCACCTGATTGGTGGAAGAGGTGACAGTGGCTGCTTTCGCCAGTGCCAATCAGTGCGCTCCCATCTTTACTGAGGATTGTCGTCCTTGTATGTATGATAAAGCTTCAGTGTGATTGTTGACCTGTAAGAGTCTATATTTATTATAAGAAATAAAATGAACAGTCACCTTTGGAAACAACTTTCAATCCACCTTTTTGGTTTTTTAACGGTTCGTTTTGGGACGAGATCATGTGATTCCTTCGAGGGCAGTTGCTAATTATTTTTTTAATTAAATCCTCGTGTGGGATTTCACTTTTTATGTCATCTTTCCTTTGGGAGCATCTCCGGGGCTGAGCGGAGGCTGAGCACTCATTGGTTTGTCAGTGTGATGATGTCACGATGTAGGGTGACCTGGATTGTTTCATCGGCGATTCGTGCCGTTCGTGTTTCTCCTCGGTGACTTCTGGTGCGACTGCTCGGCCTTCAGTGCTGTGATGTGCCAGCCTCACTGTGCCTTGTTGTGCGGTCAGCATCCCAGGAGCTCGTCTCAGAAACGTGGAGGTTAGAAAGGCCACGTGGGACCTGAAGCATCTCCAGTCTGGGGACAGAAAGAGTTCATCTCTACGGTTTTATTTCTGTTGTGTCTGCTCAATAACTTTTGTAACACCTTCAGACAGTTTCATGGAAGAACAACAAAATCTTTATCAGTGTGCTTTTCTGATGTACACTGACTGGACATATTTTTAGGTACACTTTGCTGGGACTGTAGTGGACCCTCTTTATGTCACAGCACAGACTGGAGGTGTTGGAAACGTTCCTCAGAGGTTTTGCTCCATACATGACAGCGTTACACAGTCAGTCAGTGTGTCAGCTGCACACGCCAAAGGTGCTCTGTTGGACTGAGGTCTGCAGTGAGCTCCATCTGAAGATGGTAACTGTTTTCATAAAATGATGGACATGGTCAGCAACAATACTCAGGTCGGCCATGACATTTAAACGATGCTCAGTTGGTGCTAAGGGGCCCACAGTGTCAGATCCACAGGATTACACCTGAACTGCTGATACAAGCAGGATGGATCCATACTTTCATGTTTCATCACCAAATGTGATCCGACCTGGAATGGGAGTTGGATTCTGATTCTATTACTGGCATCAATTATTGATTCGATCCTTTATTGATTCTGTTATTGAGTCTGTTGGGTTCTCACTGGCTCGCTGTGACCGTCACCGCCATTGCTAAGCAGCGTATGTTACTTAATTACTCCCAGGAGAAAGTATTTCATTACATTACTTTGCTGCTTCAGCTGAATCACAGCTGAGGCTACGGTCCCGCACACCAACGCAAGTTCCTGTCGCAATGAAGGCGCAAGCGAGCTTTCTCTCAGTATTCAGGTATGAACTCACAGCTGACAGGAGCAAAGAGGAAACCAGCACAAAGACACTTGTGATCGCCACAGTGATCCTACTTCAGAAAACAGGTAGAAACCGAGGCTGCAGCTGGACTCATCAGTTTGAAGTTCAGGGTCAGTTTGGGCTGGGGCTAGCTCAGTGTGTTCAGCGTATTCAATCATGTTTCTATTTATGTATTTATTAGTAGTAGTACTAGTAATGATTTAGTTAGTTTCTTGCTCTCTGTAAACTGTAGAGATGTTTATGTGGGGAAATCCCAGTAGATCATCAGTTTCATTCAGATCAGCCGGTCTGGAGCCAACAAGCCGCCATGTTCAGAGTCGCTGAACATTGTGACACTCGGTGTGACCTTCACGGTCACCGTGACCATGTCTGCCTGCATAAATGCACTGAATTAGCTGATTACATATTTGCATTAATGTGCAGTTGAACCCAGTAAAGTTGAGTAAATGTTTTCAGTCCAGATGAAATGCTGATGGCAGCAGATGTTCGTTGTGTGCAGCAGTAACGAGGCAGCTCGGGACAGATGCTGAGCAGAATGCAGTGTTGCATTCATTTGGTCCTGCGTCGCTCACGGAAGCTGACAGCGGCTGGTGGTTGCTCATACACAGGCTTGCATGTCTGCACATGCAGACCAGCACCTCCACTGTTCAAGCGCTGTCCTGGATGATGAATCCTGACTATTGCTAAGCTGTGCTGAGGCTGCAGCTCCCTGTTGCTGTGCTCATCGCTCACAGTGCACCTCCGTGGTCTCGCACACACCACTCCCCACTCAGGGTCCAGAGGAGCATCCTCGGAGAATCCACAACTGGTCAGACGGATCCTGCTGACCGAGAGAAGACCCGACTCATTTGTGTTTGTTCCATATGCTATCACGTTGATGATGAGCTCACACACAGTGTGCAGCATCAAATAGTCATCAGTTGTGTTTACAGCACTATACTTTGATGCTACTACTTCAGGTGGAAGTGAGTGACACACATGAACACCTGAGTGAATAAACTATATTATATAACAGCTCCACTGTGCATATAATAAGAACAAGAATTCTTATTCCCAGCCTTAAACGAGCCAACAGTATTTGAATGGGTGGAAAGAGCGTCGTAGGGTAATTTCCAATAAAGCAAGTTCACAAAGGGAGTCTATGGCTGACGCGTGTTCCTGGGTTCCCAAAGAAATGCTTCCAGTTGCATTATAAGATAAGATCAGATGACCTTTATTAGTCCCACAGGTGGGAAATTTGTTATGACTTGAAGACTGTTTATTTATTACAAACTGAGGATGTAACAATGAACTCCTTCCTAAATAAGCATGGACGTTCCAAAACAAAGCAGTTATCCAGAAGTACCTGTGCACACGGTCGGAAAACCGTGAGACTCTAACCTCTCCATGCTCCGCCCCTTCCCCCTCACGCAGGGTTTCGTGCTGCTATTGCACTTACATACTTAAACTGAGAGGTACCCCCTTTTTAGGTTCCAGTCCCAAACAGTGACGTAACATCACTTTATGTAAATACATCCATTTTCATATTTATTAATCCTGAAAAGATGACTTATGTAATGAATCTGTGAATTATAAAATTATAAAAAGGGGCTACTCATGCATACGTCTGTCCACGCACGGAGAGAAGTGGTGCCAGGTGAAGAAAGTCAACAAAGTAGGACGCAAGTGTCACATAGACTCGCTTGCTTGATGGGTGAGTGCTGACATCCTGCCTGGGCTCCAGGCTGGCAGCTGCAGCAGGACTAACAAGCCGAGTGACAACAACAGGAAGAAAAGGGACTTTCAAAAGACAACACGATGAGTCATAATTCAGCCAATATCTTTAGTGTGTAAAGACATCCTTTCAACGACACTGTCCTCTGTAATTTAAAGATAGCAGTAAATCCAAATCTTACATTATGAAGCCTGAAGTCTCGACTGTGAAGCTTGATGTCATTTAGATAACAGGCTGGCTTTAATTTCCCGAACACGTCTTGCTGTTTTCTTGTTCTGCGGTGTTACACTTCCTGTTCATCTTTATATCACACAAGCTAAGTGCTCCGAGCCTGCCAGCCATCCCTTCATTCAACACCCACCCTGTTTCCTTTCTTCTGTGTCATCTGCGTGATGCCCCATTAACTATGCCGTCCTTGAGCTCCCCTGACAGCCCCGTTTCCTTTAGCATCTGCACTTCTCTACTTTCATCTAATTATCCATTTTAACAGATTTGCCACAAAAGCTAAACTAGGTTAACCCCATCGAGCGTTTTTCTGTAGCTGATTGTACAGCTTGAAAGAAAAACAGCATTTTTATCCACCAGGTGTTTTCAGCTGGGCTCAGCAGTGTGCTGGAAAGAGGAGGCTTCTGTCTGTGCAGGCGTGTGCTGTTCAGGTGCTCACTTTGACCCAGATTCTCCAGTGCAGTGGGACACTGAGCCAACGTGTTGACTCATAATCACACACACACACACACGCACACATGCTCATTCACACAGGTGGTCGCACAGCAGTCCAGGGGGAAAGGCCAGAAAGGTGCACCGGTGTGAGGGAATATGCAGGGGCGGCGACGTGTGTCAGGAAGCTGCTGCACCACCGTGTTTGGACGCCAGGTCAGAGCCTTTCTTCTCTGGTAAAGAGACTAAAACTGAGGATATGTAGGTTTAATAACTGTAAAACATAAGAAAAGATAAAAGAAAGAAAGATTTAAAAAAGGTTTAGTCGGCTTCGTGAGCCACGTTCATCGTTTTTGCGCCTGGCTTTGGGGGTAAACCCAAAATCAGACGGGAACATGCGACCCGCTGGAGGATTTCAGCAGAGACATATTCTTGTCTGTGCATGTAGGTCCTTCACACTCACATGTTTGTTGCCTTCTAATTAGCTGGCTGGCAAAAAGAAATCTCAGGTTACAACAAGGTTAAATCATTTTAACAATAGAAACTCACAATTATCTTCTTTATTTTCTTTTATGAGGTAATTTCCCCCCTAAGATACGTTCAGCTGATCTTTAAATCCATGAAATTCAGGTAGGTTTGGAAAATGTAATTATTTTATTTGTAATAGTTATTTAAAAACTGCATCTTGTTTTCACTCAGGTTGTCTAATATTAAAATGTGTTTGAGGATCAGAAACACGCATGTCTGAAAAAAAGAAATCAGAAATGGGGAAAAAGCTCTGTCAGCAGTTTTTTTACGTCTTATATGAACTGATGACTTCCTCGTCTATGGATACATCTGAACATTAGCCCAGTGAAACACATCTACGCTGAGCCGTTTAACTGGTTTTCCTTCATTTCCGCAAACATGGAATTAAATCCCAATTTGCTGCAGTAATGAGACGGAGGCAGAAATGTCTGAATGAAAAATAAAACCAAAACATAGCGCTGCCATTACAGTCAAGGGAAAAATATGTAAATTTTCTCATTAATGGATTTTCTCATTTATTATCTGATGAATCACGTGTGATGTGATGACTTCCCCAAAAACCAACAATTTTAATAGAAATGTTTCTGTCACGGTAACGATTTGTTTCAGTGGTGATGCAACTACGGGTGAGGACAGTTCAATAATAGATTGTTGAGACTTTTGTTTGAGGATATTGGCACACATTAAAATTACATTTTTCTTTCAAAGGTTATCTGCTTCATCTTTTCATAAAGCTGGCCTCGTTATTGCTGCTGTGTTTGCGATCTAATATCGAGAAGCTGTCCTTCTCATGAAAGTCAGCGGTCAATATATCCTTATCTCATATTCATATAACGCTCCACACCCCTGAGATCGAACAGAGATATCACACAGAGAAAGAGAACCACATGTGGACACGTGTTATGAGAATCGCTTTACCTTTAATAACAAGGAGAGGGGAGAAGATCGAGACATGGAGGAGCACTGCAGAGACTGGTAAATATAATCATCGCTGCCATGGTTTAGCACAACATTCAGCTGCTGTGAGAAGCTTCTTTGTTCTGGCTACATTTCTTCAAGCAACCATAAAATAGCTCTCGGCTGTCAAATAGCATGTTTGACCTCTTAAGCTAACATTTCACACCAATCATTGTATATGTATTGTGCTTTGAAGTAAACTTATTGTCTCCATATGAGGACAGACTTGTTGTTTTAAATAGAAAAATAAGATGCATCCAAGCAAACCCTCAGGTCCCAGGAGACCATCAGTGTCTTCACTGAGTCGTTAAACGCTTCCTACCTACAGTCCTGTGAAGAAAACAACATCAGGGCTCTGTGCCTGTCTGTGAAAAACTAAGTGCATCCTTACCGTTTCTATAGGAATTAAGAGGTTAAGTAGCAGCCATCAGCGGCTACATAAATGCATTTTGTTTTGGCCGGTCTGGAGCATTCGGGTGTGCGTTAACGCGCTGGCACAGCCTTCCCACTAATGCACAGCCCAGCAAATCATCCCAAACCACGCAGTGCTCAGAGAAATGCAAAAAAAACCCCAAGAACTACATGTGAGACTCACAGGTCTGAGTTAACACGATTCAGTTTGATTTATACAGCAACAAATCTCAACAACAGTCGCCTCAAGGCGCTTTGCTCTGTAAGGTACAATAATACAGAGAAAAACCCAACAATCATATGACCAGAGATGGGCAGTAACGCGTTACTGTAATCCAATTACTTTTTTCAAGTAATGAGTACAGTAAGGGATTACTATTGGACTTCCTCACTGGCAGAACTCAGGTGGTGAGGGTGGGCAGGTGCTTCTCCAACAGCATCACCATCAACACAGGAGCACCTCAGGGATGTGTCCTCTCGCCACTGCTCTACGCCCTCTACACTTCAGACTGTGTGGCCACCCATGGCTCCAACACCATTGTGAAGTTTGCTGACGACACAGTGGTGTTGGGTGCCATCTCCAACAACAATGAGGTGGGCTACATAGACGAAGTGAAGAATCTGGCATCATGGTGCCAGGACAACCACCTCCAGCTGAACGTCAGCAAGACCAAGGAGCTGGTGGTGGACTTCAGAAGGGGTCAGCACAGAGACTACAAGCCCATCATCATCAATGGAGCTCCAGTGGAGAGGGTGCAGTCCTTCAAATATCTTGGTGTCCACATCTCCTCAGACCTGACATGGGCTGCCCACATTCAGGTCCAGACCAAAAAGGCTAGGCAGCGCCTGTATCACCTACGACAACTGAGGAAGTTCAGGGTCTCTCCAAAGATCCTCAGGATTTTCTATACAGGCGCTGTGGAGAGCATCCTCACACAGAACATGACATCGTGGTTCGGGAACAGCTGTGTGAAGGACCAAAAAGCTCTCCAGAGAGTGATCCGTACAGCAGAACGCTGCTGCAGGATTGCTCTCCCCCCGCTTCAGGACACCTACACCAGGAGATGCCGGACTAGAGCAGATACTGAAGGACCCGTCCCATCCTGGCAACAAACTGTTCCAACTTCTGCAATCTGGTAGAAGGTTCCGCATCTTCCGGGCAAGGACAGAGAGACTCAAGAGGAGCTTCTATCCCCAAGCCATCCGTGCTCTAAACACACACACCCGCCCGCTCACATCATCTATAATTGACTGAGTCAGGACTCTTCCAGACACTAAACCAAGGCACAATGTACATTTCAATTCCTTTAATTTTAAATATGTTTATATTGTCTATCCTGTAAAATAGTCAGATGTCTATTCATATTAATGTACAGAATTCACCTGCTTGCTGCTACTACTGCACATTCACCCAGTGTATATACTATATGTATGTATGTATATATATATATATATATATTAGGGGTGCAACGATATTCGTATCAATATTGAACCGTTCGATACAGTGCTTTCGGTTCGGTACGCATATGTATCGAACAATACAATTTTTTTCAATTTTTTTTTTTTTTTTTTTTTTTTTTGTGTCCCGTTTGGATCTATAGCCATCAGAATTGTTGTCTTGAGGCCAAGAAAGATGCCAAGAGGATTTATTTTAAGTGGATCATCATATTGGTCCATTTGATTGACCTTTATTATAATTATGAATTTATTTTATTTTCAGTTGCAAACGGGACAGACATGACTGTGGGATAGGACAGGGGGAAAGAATGAAAGAAAGAGGGGGAGAGAAAGAAAGAAAACCAAAGGGGAGAAAAAAAAAAGAACAATACAAAATTTGTAATTTATTTTATCAACTTTCCTTCTGACGATGC